CCGGCCCCCCCTCCCCGGTAAATATCGTACAGTCCCTTAACGGATTGGCCCGCTTCATTTTTTTCTAATTTGCAAAAAAAATTCAGAAAAAAAATGCTCATATTTTGCCCGTGAACAGTTGAAAACAGTCCTTTTCTTGCTAGTTGTTACAGTTATTCCATCTTTCAATGAAATGGTATCATTAAAAGTTCAAAATTCAATGTTTAAATTTTGAACCAGCCTGGTGTGTTGACTTCATGGCTCCTATCGTACCATTTTGGGCCATAATAGGATGCCTATGCCTGTTTTTATTCTTTTATTTTTTCGCCCGCCCTTAACCAAGAAATTTAATTGGTGTGGCCTAAGCTACGCTATACTATATATATATTAACTGAATCTGAGTGTGTCTGTTTTCCCCAGGGAGCTGGAAGCTACAGTGAACAAGTTCAGGTCAGAACTGGAGCAGCAGAAGCTGCAACTACAGAGGGAACATGCCACAGAGATGGAGGAGTCTCTGGAGAAAACTAACTCCCGACTCAAGCAGATAGAGAAGGAGTACACCCAGCGCCTCACTAAACAGTCTGAGACTATCTCAGAACTACAGGACACTATACAACATGTCAGGGAGGACAGTGGCAGGCAGATCACTGATGCTGACAGGAGGTATGTAGGGTTGTTACCTTCGACAGAAGGTTATGTTTTTGGTCAGGGAGGACAGCGGTAGACAGCTCACTGATGCAGACTGGAGGTATCTACGGGTAATGTTACCTTCGACAGAAGGTTATGTTTTTGGTCAGAGAGGACAGCGGCAGGCAGCTCACTGACACTGACAGGAGGTATGATTGTTGTTACTTTCGACAGAAGGTTATGTTATTGGTCTGGGAGGACAGCGGCAGGCAGCTCACTGATGCAGACGATAGGTATTATTGTTGTTACCTTTGCCAAGAAGGTTATGTTTTCAGAGGCGTTTGTGTGTCTGTCCGTCCGTCCATCTGTAATTGTGTAAAACACAATAACTTGAGAAGGCTTCAGTGGATGGACTTGATATTTGGTAGGTGGGTAGGTCTTGGTGAGAACTCCAAATGGTTAGATTTTGGGCCTTGTTATAATACTGCAGCTGAACTTCCGGTTTCGATATCTCGTGATCAAGACCTACCATAACTCAAGAAGCTATGGATGGATTGCCATTAAACTTGGAAGGTGGGTAGGTCTTGATGGGACAAGATGGTCAGATGTGTTGGTGGAAGTACGAAGCAAGGTTACCGGTCAACAATGCAAGAAATTGAACTCAACCAACTTTACAACTCAAGTCTTTGAGACCTCAAAAAGTTCAGTTGTGTTGGTAGAAGTCATTACGAAGCAAGTTTTAACAGCAATTTCCAATACAAGAAATTGGACTTTACATCAAAATCATTCCTTGACAAAGATTAGGCCACACCAAGTAAATTTTTTGGATGACGTCCTTTGGAGACCCTATATCTAATGCGAGAGGGCGAAAAAAACAAGAAGGGCCCTAAAAAACAAGATGCCTAGATTAGAAATATACTAAGAGACGACAAATGTTAGGACACAAATTGAATGAGGTGACACAGTGTAACAAGCAAGAAGTCTTTTATTCATCATCAAAACAGCAATAAATCAGGTGGAACAGCAGTTATCGTCCTGTCCTGTTTCTTTCATCACATTTTTGCAGGCCTGCAGAAACAAAGCATGTGCTCTTTACCCATCTCGCGTTACGGGTTTCACGTCAATCTAACGATTTGAGGCACTGTCGTGACTCTTTGGTCATAGTTACAGGAAGCGGAATTTCTTGTTGTTTTTCTAGGAACAGGCCAAAATCAATGCGCGCGTGGACGTCATCCATAAAATTTACTTGGTGTGGCCTTAGAGTAAATAAAAAGTCCAATTTCTTCTGTTGAAAATTGCAGTTTAAACTTGTTACATAACATTGTACATGTCTCTGGTAGTCCATCACTTTCTGATGATGACTTTGTAACATAATACATGTTTCACAACTAATTCTACGTTCCCTGACCAGGCTACAAGACTCCCAGACCAGACAGGGAGAGGAGGTCCAGACGTTAAAACGGCAGCACAGCGCGGCCCTGAGAAGCCTGCAGCAGGACGTGGACACACACAAGAGCCACGCACGGAGCCTGGAGAAGAGGCTACAGCAGCAAGAGATCGACCAACAAGAGAAGGTAAATACCATAACCGTACAGAAAGATTGGACGACAAACTCATATAATTTTGTGGGGACAGACCTGAAGTATAATTTCAAGAATACAGTCAAACTTGTCTAGTAAGACCCAGGTGACTGAGGAAAAGTGGTCTTCTTAGACAAGTGGTCTTCTTATGCAAGTAGCATGGGGACAAGATAGGACAGAGAACGAGAAAATCGCAGCAACTGACTGCCATCTTACATTATGCAAAGACTGGCAAGCTGTCAAAATCATTGGAAAACTGGCCGAGTCCATCAAGATTTCTCACTAGCAGTTATCAAATTCAAACACGTTTTCCACCTCACACTTGACAAAGACATGGTCATCATAACCTCCTTGATCATAGGCAGAGATGAGGCCATGTGCGGTGCCTGGTGGTCTCCTCCTTGTGGTCTCCTTCGACAAGTGGTCGGCTTTATATATATAATAGGCATGTCCTTTATATAAAAGTCGTTTGGGGGGGGGGGAATTGGGACCGAGAAAAAGCGGCCATCATGGCCATCTGGTTTGGTTATACAAGGGGTCAGGCAAGTTTGACAGTGCTTTTAAAATTTGAAAGTCCTTTTGCTAAGTGACTGAGTGTGTGCCCCCCTCCCCTCCCCTCCCCAGCTGACCCACCTGCAGCAGCAGTATGAGGACAGGATGAGAGGACTGATGCCTGCCTCACTCCGACAGGAACTAGAGGACACCATCGCATCTCTCAAGGCACAGGTACACATGCTTATACACTCTGTCTTTCCACCTGTAGGCCATACCAATTTAATTTGTTGCTTCTCAGATTTTTGCAGAAAAAATATGAAGCGACAGGGCGGAAAATAAAAACAGGTCTAGGTATCCTATTATAGCCCCAAATGCTATGATCATAGGAGTCATGAAGTCAACACAAAAGGCTGGGTTAATATTCAAACAATGAATTTTGAACTTTTAATCAAAAACCACTGCATTGGTAGATGGAAAAACTGTAACAAGTAGGAAGAAAAGGACTTTCCTCAAATGTTGGGGGTAAAATATGTCATATTTGAGTTGATTCAGAACTAGAATCTTTTTTTTTTTCAAATCAGAAACAAGTGAAGAGGCGAATCCGAGAACCAACACATTAAATTGGTGTGGCCTAAAATCATCCTTTTCACAATTTAAATGAAGCTGTGTTATGAATTCCTGGTATTACCGAGTTTCCTCTTAAGCTCTGTTCATAGTGTAACTGAGGTTCAAGTGCTGCTAACTGGTTTATTCAAATGGGTCCGGACCTTTTAGAGTATTCGTTCGTGCTTTGGTGCCATAAGCTGGCACATGTTTTTTTTTTCCTGAAAATCAGAAAAACATGAAGTGGCCAATTTCGACAACCAAGAAATTAAGATGGTATGGCCTTAGAAGAAAGAAGCTCCCACCTGTTGGAGCTGACATAAGGCTGCACTTTGGCAGAACGTACTACACATGTGTAAAACCTGTAATGTATTGTGCATCACATCGGCAGAACAACTCGTTTAAGTTTGTATTCATGGATGATGTCCCATCTACATTGTATTATAGTTTTTAGATGTTGTGTCAGAAAAGATATCATCTGAAATGGGCAAAATTCTGATGCAATGCTGACGAAACATCTATTGGAAACTGTGAAACATCTGTGTTTCATGCAGGTGCAGTACGGTCTGCCAACATGAAGGCTGTTGTTTACCTCTTGTTTGTTTGTTTGTTCTTAGGTAAACTCCGTTCAACAGAGGGCCATCATTCTACAGGAAGAACTTGATGCCAAGTCCAGATACTGAACCCAGCACTCAACTCCTGTACAGAGATAGCTAGTTTGTAATCTTTTGTAATATTGGGACCAGAGATACTGTACTGTCAAAGCTAACAAAATTTCCAATGAAATTTTTTGCTATGGTTTTGTGACTGTAAACTTGTTGTAAAGTACCTCCCACCAATCCATAACAACTTAGTCTTTCTTCCAAATTACTTTTTGATAAAGAAAACATTGAAGAAAGGACTCCATGTTTTTGTAATATTTTGATGGGTGAATGCCAACTTCTTTAATTATCTGTCAGAAACACATGTTGCTTTGCTTTGCTTTTCTTGCACTGACTCAAAATTCTTACCAGTAAAGTTGTTCCATTTTGAATTTCAATTTTAGTACACTTTCAGTACATCTGATTTCTTAAAGTAACAATTTCGAAGAAAAATTTGTACTGATGCACATATCTGTTTTGAAATCAAATTCTGGTATGATCACACCTTAGCGTACCTCCCCATAGTTTCTGAATGGTCCAGTCCGGAGCTTGTCCTGTATATAAGTCAGACATTCCATTGACAGCTGGATGGGGGTGGGAGGTGGAGGTCAACATAGCTGGAGGCCAGGTCCCCCTGTGGTGAAAATGGACTCACCCTTTCATCCCTAGTGTCAGGTGTCAACGCAGGACCACTCTCACTGGCCCACTAGGTCAAAGGTCGCCAACCAGGGCAAGTTCCAACATATTACTGCTACTCCCAAATTTTGGCAAACAACCAATAATAATGGTTATTGTAAGCTCCATGACATTGTTTAATTTCTAACAAAATTGGGCAATATTTTGTATATGTGTATTCTTCTTACCGGTATTCAAAAATCTGGGCAAGGAATTTCATTAGAAGATACGTCATTTTGTAAACTGTATGTGATAGAATGACCTTTAACTGAAGTTACGGTGCCAAAATTTGTGTGTCAGGAAATTATTTGATCTGGGAGGGCAATTTAAATGTAGGAAAAGAATAAACAATATTATTATTTGATATGTTCTAAACTAGGGATGTTTTAACTCTATTGTGTTTGAAATGGACACAAATTTTGTCAGACAGGTGTAAAACAGAAACATAATGTTACCTTTCTGTACCTTCCAGAGATTTCATACAGGTGTAACAGGTCAGAAGGTACCCCTGGCCAAAATCTGCCCCAGGGTATATTTTGACCATGGGTCAGAGGGTATAGATTCCATCCTACTACACTGATTCCATCTAGTTATCACAATGTTGTTATTTCAATATGTATGATTTGATGAACTTTAAAGCAGAATGAAGTGTTGTGTTTAATTTTGGTGTTTATGTATCATTAATTTGTTGTATTTCTAATATTTGCACACAAAAAGACTTTTAAAATCACATTTTTGCATTCCTAATTGTACATTAAGAAATTGATGTGTATATATTATACAGGACCGCTTGCTGATTTGAATACTTTGTTTTGGTCAAGAAAAAATATATTTTAAGTAGTAGGCTAACATTGCTATTGTTAGTAAAATAACAAGATTTGTTATTGTTTATTTTTGATTTGATATTATTTGCCTTTTGTACAATGTATAGTTTTTCCTACAATTTATGGTTTCAATTCCTTAGTAACGCATAGTCTAGTAATGAGAGTGATACAAAAATGAACAAACTTTCCTAGTGGTTTCTCTCTGGAAATAAATGAAATTTCTTCTTCTCTCCAAACACAAAAGGTCAATGAACTGGACCAGACGTCTGTCACCATGGTAACTGGTGCTGTAGCGGACACCCTGTGGTGTTCGGTTATGTAGCAGGATAGTCCTAGAGGGGCTGGTCACCATATACTTAGTACTTTAGTATATGGATTTGGTGGCCTTCCTTGATACTGCAGCAAAACTTTTTTATTTCATGTTCTGGAAAAGCTGTGGTCACAACTGTTTGACCCTGTGTCACCGAAGCAACTAATCAGTGCCAATTACCAGCCTCAATTATTACAAGTCAAGCTTTACTTGGTTGCTTGGAGAGAGAAACTATCAAAGATACATGTCCTTGAAGTCCTCACAGCTTGTTCACAGGAGCACAAAACATTAAAGCCAGTGATATAATCTCTAATTAGTTCATTGTATGGTGCGAGTTAAGTCTTTCAGCCCAGTACTTTAATAGGTCTGCATTTGCAGTAATCTTTGGATTGTGTGACCTTCCTCAGCTTGAGCAACATTTCCTGTTGTTTCACACTGCCACTCACAACTGTGTGGTGGGACTTGTAATTGATTTCTTGATCAACAAAGTTCCAAGCAGATGTGGAGTAGACTGTGTAACATCCTAGTAGCCTCTACCAGGCTTTGGAAGCGGATGTGAATAGTTAGGAAACTGGCCATATAGACAGATAACATGCCAGGGGAGTTGGTCTGCTAAATGAATACAGTACAACTGACTCCCCTAGAAATGTCTACTCTTTCCAGCTGCTTCGGAAGCCTGGTAGACTATATAGCATCCAGCCAAGGAGGTTCAATTTAACTGTAATCCAGGTTTTTAGGCAGACTCCAATAGTTCCCCTTACCACCAATGTGGTGACTTGGAATGAGTGTAGACGGACTGCTCTAATTCAATGTAGAGCGTGATTGGTGCATTTTGCTCAGAGCATAATTCGCTGTTTTGATCTGACCGGTGGGAGGATGGTCCTCAGGTACCTGAAATTTATTTTTTCCAACATGTAATCACAAGACGTGGTGACGGCACACTCAAGTTTTTTCAACTTACATTAATGCCACCAACACGGGACAATACAATTATACTGATTTTCACCTGAGCAAAGTGAGGAAAATCGTGTAAAGTGCCTTTCCCAAGGGCACAAGATCGGTGGCATGTCAGGACTCGAACCTGGGCCCTCTTGATTCCACTCTGTCGCTACGCCACACGACCCCACAAATTTATTGTAAAACGTAAGGGGGAGGTTTCATGAATTCAGTGTAATATGTAGCAAAATTTAACATAGAGCGTTGTTGGGCCCTTACATAGCAGGGGAGCCAATGTCCCTGTAGACTACACAGTGGGAGAAACAATAACACAATACACACACCTGTGTGAGCCTGGGGCCAGTCTGGAAACTTAACTGTCATAAACCATACAGGATGAACATGTGAAACAGGAGGATTTGTACCAAGGTAAGGCCACACCAATTTAATTTGTTGCTTCTCGGATTTTTTTTCTGAAAAAATATGAAGAGACAGGGTGAAATAAAAAAAAAGGGCAAGGTACCCCATGATGGCCAAAAATGTTACAATATGAGCCATGAAATCAACATACCAGGCTGGTTTATGATTAAAACTTAGAATAGATTTTGAACTTTAAATGACACAAAGTTGCATTGTTACATCGAAAAACTTAACTAGGAAGAAAGGGACTTTCTTCAATTGTAGGGGCTAAAATACAAATGTATGTCTTTCGTTGAGCATCCCGCAGTTGATTCCGAACCTAAAATCTTTTTTTTTTCAAATCAGAAAAAAATGGTCAGGGCGAATCCAAGAAGCAAGAAACTAAATTGGTGTGGCCTAAAAGTACTTGGTCCAGCGGGGCTATTAGGCGGGACTGCCTACTGGGCTGTGACAGGCTATCATTATGGAGCGGTCTGCAACCTGTCATTTACTAAAAACAGCCAAGGGCAATGTCTTTAGAGCTACTCCCACCGTAGGTGCAGCTTGGAGCTAACATTGTGAAAAATAGTTTTAAGGTATTAGGCCATGTTGATTTGATTATATGGATGACATCCTCTGGGAACCCCAAAACTGATGCGAGTGTGCGAATAAAAAAAAAGTTTTGAAAAAAAAAAAGTTAGCTTTCATGAAATCTACGTTGTTATGAAGGTCGAACAAATGACACAGAGTATGGTATGGCGAATAATCTACTCTTTAAATTCATTTCTTTGCATTTTAGTTTTTTGTTTGATTTTGGCATTCTACGATGTTGGAATCGTTTTCAAATATTTTTTTTGCAACTTTCGGAATATATTTGCTCATTTTGCAACTGTTTTGTACAATTTACAGTGTGGTTGGAAACTTTTTTTTTTTGGAAACGGCCGAAAATTAATGCCCGCGCGGATGTCATCCATATAATCAAATCAACATGGCCTTAGAGGTAATTAAAGCTTTTTACTGGTGTCAAGAGGTCCCTGGCTTTGTTCTGTTGTGTCATTAGTGTGGGTGGGAAAAATTAGGTTGGATACTGAATCGAAAGATTGGTGGACATAATGTGAAACATTTTGTATTAAATAATTTCATTGAAAAGTCAACAACCTAATCTATTTACTTTATTTATTTGTTAATGTAATCTATAAATGTACAGGGTTCCATGATGGTGTTATGCAAACTTATGACATACATGTATATTGTAGTTTTATGCGTTGATTTAATGCATTACTTTTATGTTTGGGGCTTTTGCGGTCACTTCTGTACCACGAAATTATCATTACTGCCAACTTGCTTTTTTCTGCACCTTCCATCACCATACACACACAGTTCCACAAAAATGTCAACTTTTCTCAGACCACAAACTTTTGTTACCACAAACATAAAGGGAATGATGATATAATTTGCATAATCAATGAGAAGAAAATGCCATAATTTCATACTTCTTGCATGTGGAAGTTAAGTGTTCGCCTTCACTTAACTTCCACATGCATCAAGTATGAAATTATGGCATTTTCTTCTCATTGATTATGCAAATTATATCTTCTAGAAGGAGAGATCTTTGAATTATAATTTGGCAAGTAACATACTGCGCTCAGCTACGCATGCTAGTTGTGTCCCACGGGATTAAACTGACAGGTGCACTGTGAGCATACCTCACTCCCTCCCCCTGCTAGATAGGTCCCATTGGATTGAACTGAGAGATGCATTATGACCGTACTAGTACCTCGCTCCCACTCCTTGCTATGTTCCATTGGATTGAACTGACAGGTGCATTGTAAGCATACCTCACTCCCCTCCCCCTCCTAGTTAGGTACCATGAGATTTAACCGACAGGTGCACTATGAGCATACCTTGCCCCCCCCTCCTACATGTAGTTGTGTCCCATGGGATTGAACTGAGAGGTGCACTGTGAGTATACCTCAGCCCCCTCCCCTTCCTAGCTAGGTCCCATGGGATTGAATTGACAAGTGCACTATGAGCATACCTTGCTCCTCTCCCCCTCCTACATGTAGTTGTGTCCCATGGGATTGTACTGACAGGTGCACAATGAGCATACCTCGCTCCCCCTTCTATTCAGGTCCCATGGGATTGTACTGACAGATGCAGTATGAGCATTCCTGGCTCCCCTCCCCCTCCTCCCATGGGATTGTACTGACAGGTGCACCATGAGCATACCTGGCTCCCCTCCCCCTCCAAGTTTATTCCCACAGGATTGAACTGACAGGTGCACCCTGAGCATACCTGGCTCCCCTCCTCCCATGGGATTGTACTGACAGGTGCACCATGAGCATACCTGGCTCCCCTCCCCCTCCTCCCATGTTATTGTACTGACAGGTGCAGTATGAGCATACCTGGCTCCCCTCCCCCCATGTTATTGTACTGACAGGTGCATCATGATGAGCATACCTGGCTCCCCTCTCCCTCCTCCCATGAGATTGTACTGACAGGTGCACCATGAGCATACCTGTCTCCCCTCCCCCTCCTCCCATGAGATTGTACTGACAGGTGCACCCTGAGCATACCTGGCTCCCCTCCCCCTCCTCCCATGAGATTGTACTGACAGGTGCACCCTGAGCATACCTGTCTCCCCTCCCCCTCAGTGTTTGCCCCTTGAGGTGAGTATAGTGGGAGGATCCACATGTTTCCTATAACAGGTTTGCACGCACATTCTCACCTGGGCCTGATTACCTGCTGACCTCCCTGCTCACCCTGCTAGGTAGAGTAGGGCCCTAATAGCCCTAATGCCCCGGGGTTGGATCCAAAATTGCTGCTATTTCAGACTGGCAGAAGTAGCCTGGGTACCATCCGGATTTTCGCTCCGCGACACTCGAAAAATCAGTGATTTCGAAAACTGACTTTTTCGAAACCTGTCTGATATTGACATTTACTGCCATTTCTTAGCACATATTTCGTCAGTTTATTATTTGACGCATTTGAAAAATCATTGATTTTTTCGAGCGTTGCAGAGCGAAAATCCGGATGGTTCCCAGGATATTGCAGAAGGACTAGTGGGGTAAAAGTGTCCAGCATCCAATGCAAGTTTGTTTTTTGTTTTTAACTCTGAAACTTTATTCATACTGACATATTACTGTACACCTTCATGCAAACACAAGGTCTGAATTGGTAGCCATTTACAACAATAAAATAAAATGCTAGGAAGTTAAAAGTTGACGAAAAATTTGGGTAGGAAAAATAAGGTTGAATACTGAAAGACCGGCATACATAATGTGTGATTGAAACATTTTTTATTAAATCATTTTATTGAAAAGTCAACAACTTATCCATTTACTTTATTTATTTAATAATGTAAGTCTATAAATCTTGAGGGTTCCATGATGGAGTTATTCAAACTTATGACATACATGTATATTGTAGTTCATGATTTTATATGGTACTTTTACATTTGCGGTTTTTGCGGGCATGCCTAGTACACCACACCAAGTTAATTTCTTGGTTAATGGATTCACCCCCTTGATTATTTTCTGATTTGCAAAAAAAAAAAAAAATT